CAGCGGTTCCCAACCTTTTTCCTTAATGGACCTTTTTCCATCACTTATTAAACTGACTACAGTGACATATTTTATAGATATTTCACATTATATTAAAAACTGTACAGTGATCACAAACAGTGAACTCAGTAACTGCAGGAAGTTTGTGTAAAACCAGAGATTTGGATGAATTTTGAGCAGATTATTTTCTGTATTGTGTATTTTTTCATTCATTTTTAACAACATAGAGACTTTCAGTGTGTTCATGCCCTTGACACTTTGCCATTGTTCTGTTAGATAACTTACTTTATACTTACTGTGTATATATTTAAAGTTTTCTTACACGCCTTAAAATCAAGAAGGCGTTACGACCCCTCTGTGAAGCCTTGACGACCCCTAGTGGGAGTCCCGACCCCTCCAGGTTGGGAACCACTGTATCCACAGCAAGAAGCATCCAATTATTCTTTTAACCATCTGGATAAAAAAATATTCCGACTGCTGCTCAATAATATCTTTCTCTGAAGCTGATGTTTTTATTTTTAGTGTTATTTTTTATTAAAAATGTCAAATATTGGACAGTAACATCAAAAATACACAGAAATAACAGATGATACTAGTTATTTTAATTTCTGGAGATATTGAATTAATTATAAAACAGGCACAACTTGCAGATGTGACAAACTGGATTAATTTACTCCCTAACAGGTTCACACTCTACATGTTCACACCTGCCACTTCAGGCGCTTTTGGACCACAGAACCTTTCCAGGAAACTTTTTAGGTACTATATTTGTGTTTCAACCTGTGTGCAGAACCCCCCCACACACACACACACACCATGGAAATAACTCCTGTACACTGTTTCTCAGAATTTACAAATCACTCAATCAGTCTCACATGCCGGTGTTTCAGAGCGTGCAGGGACACATTGAACGCACTCTGGTGATTCACATGTCTACCAACAGCTTTTGACTCACCTGCAGGACACACCCATAATCTGTTTTCTTAGAATTAAGTCTGCTTTTAGTTAGTTGGGACCAAAGATAAGAGGAGCTGAGATTGTGAATACCTGGTATATGAAGATAATCAGGACACTTTAGAGGGTTTAAATCATCCCCATGTTTCTTGTTTTAAAGTGTTTGTTATGTACGGAAGGAAAAAAAAACACAAAAAGGCATCATAAAGAAACAGAAATACTTATAATAAGTCACAATTATGAGTTAATGAGTCAAGATTGTGATAAATTAAGTAAAATTAACTTGAAAGGTCACATTTTTAACTTTGTTATTCTATTTTAGCCAAAAATTAATGAACAATAAACATAATGTCCCTCCAGGTAAGTTCTCAGGACACACCTCAGGCAATTATGTATTGATGAAGCAGGTGTTTCCCACACACACCCACACACAAAACCGCTTCTCCAGACTGAAAACGTTGTAAAAAAAACCTGAGAAACTGAACATTATAATGTTGTAACGTTAATGTTCTGGTTTTAGTCTTCCCACCAGATGTTGGCTGCAGAGCATCAGTGAGGTCCAGTGCTGACATTGGGGGATCAGCTCACAGTCGGTGCTCCGGCTCATCCCAAAGGTGTAACTACTCAAAAAATGTAATTTACGGGTAATTGTGTTCTTTCTCCTCAAAATTCAGACGATTAAAACCCGTTCTGTTTGTTTAAATCAAAGTAATGTGAATATTTCCAGCTGCTGAATGTTACAAAAATCAATCCAAGGATGTGATTGGATTGTTTTATTTAAAATTAGTACTGGGTGACAACATTACTGCAATATTATTATTAAAGATGTATTAGTAATTAGTTACAATGCTAGTCCAACTGATATAAGCCTGTACAGATTTTAGAGGGAGAATAATATAACAATCTATCAACATTTTGACTCCTATCATTTATATTGTATCTCAGATAATGAGAAACTTTCCGTCACATTGGCAGAAATGGGCTTCCATAGATTACAGATATAGCAGCCCATATTGTGAGTCTTTAAACTGAAATATTGTGATATTTTTCACTGATATAATTCTGCAAATGCACTCAGAAGTCTGCTTTCTTTAACAAATAACATAACTTATTAAAAAACGTTATATTCTTTAACTGTGAGCTGAGAGCTGCTTCTTCTCTCTTACTCTCTGCTGCTTGTTCACAGTATTAGAAATCACTCTGCTGGATAAACTTTATTTTATTATAGCATTGATTCTGCATTAATCACTGAAACATATTGGATAACCTGATATGAACTGATGTCCAAACTCCAGCAACATTTAACGAAAATAGGTTTTAAGATCAGTAATGCTAGTAACATCAAATTCCTACCCTATATCCTATGTTATGTAATTTATAAATAATATTATTATTTACAATTCTTGGTTCTTTTTAGGTAGCAGGAGTAAAAATGAGTAACTGGTTTCAGAATGATGAAGATGTTATGTGTATGTTGGCTCTACAGGATGATTTTATTCATGTTTTTCCCAAATGATGCACAGATTTTTAGGTATTCATTCATGTAGCTGCTGTAAATGGAAAAACAAATGTCCGCTTTAGGAAAACTGTTGGACACAAAGTTTGAAGAACAATCAATATATTGTGGCACCATCTAGTGGCACAGATGAGAAGTGCAGGATGAAGGGATTGGACAGGAGGTTTTCTGAGGACAAATCTGTTCTCATTCTCATCAGTTTGTTATTTCAGAGATGAAACCTGAGCAGAGACTGACGGAGACAAGAGAGGAAGATTATTACTGAAATATCTTGTTCTGGATCTGAGGGGGTTTGCATATAAAGATACCGAACATATTAAAGTTAATTTTATTTCAACTTTTCCCACAGTTCCAGAACAGGTTTGAGTTATTGGACTTATTCCTTTATTTTTAACGTGGGAGAAGAAGTGGATTCAAATATTTTGCACTAAAATTGTAAGAAACTATAAGTAAAGATTGTGATGAATTAAGTTAAAGAAATGAGACGGAATATTGACTCAGTAGATTTTATAATCTTAACTTGCAAGGTCCCACTTTTAATTTATGAATTATCCTATTTCTGCCCATCATTAATTAACAATTTATATAATCTTTTTCCATATAAATTCTCAGACAATCACTGAATCAGTCAATAACACTAGTAAATACCAATATACACCCATGTTTGGAGGATTTTAATGTGGAAATTGTACTTTTCTTTGTAGAAAAAACATTGTTTTCTCAGAATATTGTCTCTGATTTTTTTTTATAGTGAATACCAGATCATATTTATACCAAGAAACTTCCTTAGATGAGGCATTTTATTTTCCAACATGAAGGTCTAAACACTGTTGCAAAGCCCTCTGCATAATGGTGGTGAAATACTGAATAATGTAAGTCACATTTAAAAATAGGTAGTCTAAAAATACTGCAAACAGCCTGAAGTTGTGTTTTGGATCATGCTGCTGAAATACAAAAATTATCATTTTATTCTTACCACCGCTGATATAACCCACTCTTGTCAAGCATGTTTTGCATTAGAAAAGTTAGAAAAGATATTACAGCTAATATTGAGCTTGATTTAACCAGTAACAACAATGGTTATATATCCCAGTAGAGGAACAATATTATTGTCCTTATTTTAAGAGACCACTTGCATTTCGTTTAAGAAGTTGTCTTGTCCAGTGTTGAAATGAAGCTGTGTTGTATTTTTTTCATTGTTTAATACAATGCAAAAATAAGAAGCTTCTGTTCTTTCTTTAAGACAAAGTAACTTATTTTTGAAAAAATTGTGTCTTTTATAGTGACCAAAATACTTATTTAATAAGCTATCTTAAACAACTGAATCTTTATTGTTTGTAATAAGCACAATTTGCTTCATTTTTGGCATTTTTGGCTAGTTTTAAGGCTCATTACAGTCTTTGTGTAACTAGATTTTTATACTAGTTTTAAGAACTCTATCCAAGCAAAATTGTCTCACCCTATTGACAGATTTCTTTTAGACAAGAAAATCTGATTATATTAAAGAATATGTCTTTTGTTTCTAGAAGGACTGTTCCTGCAGTGCAGCTAATGTCCTGATTAACACAGTTTCTGATGACATGGAATATGAATATGAGCATGAATGACACATATTGAGTGAGAAACTGAAGGCAAAGTCACAAAGCCTCGTGAAGACCGGATCTCTTTTAATGCCTTAATACATAACTTATTTTTTCCATCATTTCACAAAAAGCGACATATGACGTGGTACTGCAGATCACTTAAGGGGTCGCCACAAGAAAACAACAGTCTGTGCAAATAGTGCATTTTCATAGACACAGTGATTAAAGCCAGACATAGAAAAGGAAAGGTCAGTGTTTCTCAACCTCTGCACACCAGCTTTGAGGAAACTGAGGCAACCGTTGAAGGTTTCAAGCTCCATTTACATCTGAAATGAAATCATGTGAAGCCTCGTTTCTAGTGTTCCCACAAGAAACAATAACTACAAAACCATTTAAAACCATAAATATAGCCACTTTTTTGGTTTGAACCAATGCAAAGACAATATTTTCAAAACATTTCCATTACAATTTACTTCTTTGCTGACGAACTTGTCTTATATCTATAGGGGGAATTCAGTGTTTTGTTGTCTTTTCACTTTCTATTTTAGTCATAAAAACAGGCTGGTATTGCACAGAACAGTGAAATTGACTTTAGTTTGCTAAATTTAAGGGGTACAGCTGCAATTAAAATATGAATTCATCACAAAAGATTAAAAACATGCACTGGAGCAGAGGTAGAAACACAGGGAGGTAGAGAGGAAGATTAAAAAGAAGAGCATATTTACGGTCCCACTTTCCATAAATAACAACAGTAGAGAAGTTTCAGGTGTGCCTAGCAGACACACGGCTTGTAGACGGGCACACTGTTTAGCATCGATAATGTCCATGGCTTTAAAGGCAACCATTCAGCTTACAGAGTTCATGCTTTTACCTGTAATGTTTAATGGCAACGAGCTGCTGTCATGCTGTCAACAGTTTCGTCTCGTTTTTTTTTTTTTATAGCACAAAACAGCATCATGCAGATCACTTACAGACCAACGAGGAAGACACTGAGGAATATTGATACTGCGTTCCAGAAATATCTGAAATCCAGAGACAACTGGGTGTGAATTTCAAGAACCACAAGGTTTCCAAAATAAAGAATTCTTAAAGTTCCTAAAGTTTTAAATTCTTGTTAAACTTGAATTAGATCTTTATTACTAAACCTTAAAGCTGCACTGATCATCTTTTGGCCACTTGATGGCAGCAGAAATTAGCATATTTTCATCTTTTAAGTGTATAAGGAGAACATGTAAAGCAAAGGGTTGCTCATTTACACATTTGGAGTTCTGTAGCTTCTAGTGTTGGTTTTACGGCATAATTTACTGTTTTGGTTCAGTCTCAGCACTTTACATTACCTGCTCAGCAAACTGCACAGTTATACACTAGCTGGTGAACATAGTGGAGCATTTAGCAGTTAAACAGCCAGATATTTCCCTCAGCAGAGACCAAGATAAAACAGTGAATATCTGACTTATACTCATTTGGTTGAGACAAACAGGACTCTAAATTAATGCTAATATTGCTCCGTATCTACTGGATTTGTAAATAAGCAACTGTTTGCTAACTAGTTCGCCACAACAACAACACAACCACTTTTATACGAGGTTTTGCCCTCAGTGTGAACAGTCCTTTCAGAATTCATGTGACTTTTATGTCAGAACTTATCATATATAAATCCAAATTAAGCCCTGAGGCTATTAAAATTGTGTTTTCAGTTATTTCCTCTGCCCTCAATTGGCTAAAAAAACATCAGTTAATGGAGCTTTAAAAGTACAGAAAAATCCGGGAGCTAAAGGTGGAATAGAAGTTGCACCTTCAGTTCCTTAAACTTTACCGATCACACCACCATTGCCTGTTTGTGTAAAGTTGGCTGTTGCTTAAGAGTTTCCACCATCTGACATTGAATGAAACGCAGCATTATAATAAACTTATCATGCGTGAATCTGTGGGTTTGATGTAGTTCAAAAAAAGAACGATAGAGCTTCATTGCTTCCTAGCAGCTTCCTGGAAAGAATAAATTCTTTCAAATGTGAAAATGTACATTTATTTTTTTTACCTACGCTGTAATTAGCCACAAGTTCTTTCCAGAAAACATCAAGGAAATTATTCTAAAGCGCTACCAAAGTAACTACAAAGACCAGGTCACTTAAGGCTTAATGTAGAATCCACAGTATGAGGAATGTAAATGAATGTATGTACTGCATCAACATCAGGCTACACTCTTTGGCACTTGTGATTTCCTGTTTGACATAAATAAGTTCAGAGATATGAGACACACACGTTTTATAAAATGGCTGTAGACGTCCGACAGCTCCGACCCGGCTCTTCATCCCCTTCACTGCACAAGTCTTTTTAGTGTCTTTTCAGTCTGTCCATGCTCAACACAGAAGAGTCAGAGCTGCGTTTGCCGGCCTTGGACGTTGCATAGTGTTGTTAGAGAGCGAAGGAGCAAGCTGTTTAAAAAGAGAGAGATTATAGAGTTTGGTGGTGAGGGAGCAGGACGAGGCGTGTCAGGCCTCGGGTCACTTCCATTCTTCATCTTCTTCTTGTAAACATGAGGCCCAGGTTGTCAGGCACTGTAGAGTTCAACGCTCCGTCTGCTGGTCGACTTCTCTCCATGTTTGTTTGTCTGTGAGTGTTTGTGTGTTGCATCTGTTCAAAACAACAACGTTCTGCGTGTACGTATCAGTTGTTAGAGTCTACGTGTTTGTGTGTGTTGTTTGTATAAGAAGCAGTTGTAATCGTACTCATGTGCATTCAGTGGCACTGCTGGTACACAGGCTGTCTCACAACCACAGCTGACGCCATTTTGGGTTTCATTTTGGTTGCTAATGCTGCAAATTCAGGTAGTAAATAAAACAGTAAACCAGCTTGTGTTCAGCTCTAGTTACTTATCCTAAATAACGTGAGCATTTTAAGCCCTGGGTCCAATCTTAAAAGGCATTATAGAAAAGGAAAACTTTTTTTTTACAACTTAGGTTATTAGCTATTGCTCACATTGGGCTAAAATCTTGGTACGTGGCCACATTGGTAAAAATAGGTCAGAGAGGACGATCACATAGGTTGAAAAGTACATTATTTAAAGCACTTTTTTGGAGGTCAAACACTGAAATGTCAGTAATACCCCCTCATTGCACAACTACAGTGAGTACAGTTGAACCACAATAGTCTGTGATGGATGTTTCACCTTTGTTTTCTCCTCCAAATACATTTGACTAACCTGGTGGTTTGTTTACAGTCTGTCTGATCTTGTTACTGCTCATATTTGCTTTGCTCACTGAACCTTTGTTCAGTCCAGTGCTTCAGCAGTTCCCATCCATTATAACAGAAATAAAAGTAAGGCTCTAAGTAGGTCACACATTTGCATATTATAACCACGTGTACAAATACAGACTTTTATCTCTCCTGCCTTTCAAACTTTCTTTCAAACTCTCAAAGTATTTGTTCTTTTTTAGTTCAGATTATAATGTTTGTGTTTGAGAACAGACTGCATCAAAATCAAGGTTTTAGTGCACAAACACCCGAGTTATAATTATTATTCTGCTTTTTTAGGCCAAAATCATATTGCCTGGAAGGCTCTATTCGGGGCAAAAAAAAAACACTAAACTTCATGCTAACATGTGACTACAAGGCACAAGTCAGATGTTGTCAGATACTGCTGTTAGTCATTTTTGTCTTAAGGGAGTAAATAAAAACAACAGCAGCAGATTTTTTTTGTCAAGCTGTGATTTTAAAAAGGCTGCGCAGCTGTTTTCCTCCAAAATGGCGTCAGAGTGGGTTTAATGGACCTGTAAGCCGTCCATATGCAGTGCGTTAAACGCTTGAATGCACAGGTGAGTCCCTCTGCCTCAGGTCCAGACCTCCATGGGCACCATGGCCTCCTTTGAGCCGATGGGGGGAAGCAGGTTCTGCTCGCAAAGGAACTGGAGCGGAAACTGAACCAGGAAGCCGCGGATCTTTTTCAGCTCCTCGTGAGCCCGGGCCAGGTCCTCTTTGTCCAGGCCCTGCTTGGCCAGGAAGCCCTCAAGCTCCAGGATGTTACGGACATCGCTGGACGGCAGACAGCGGAATACCTGAGGAAAAGAAGGGCGGACGAGTCAGAGAGAGAACCAGGGTTTTATGTGTCAATGAACATGTATCGAGTGAGAGTGCTGCAGGAAAGAGTCCTAAAACCCAAAAATTAGTTAAAATCTTTGCACCTCCGGTTTCCTCGTCTCAGAGTCAGTGGGGTTTCTGAATGGATTTTTAGGTCTGTGGTCAACAATTCACAAATCTGCTGTTTATGTAAAAACATGGTGAAACATGCCAAGTAACATCTTCAGATAGTCCAAAACCCAAAGACATTCAGCTTACAGTCACATAACAGAACAGAAAAGACCACTGAATGTGTGGCTTTTTTGCTTTATAAACTACTTAAACAATGAATAAATAGTTGATTTATATTGATAATAATAGTTTGGGCTCTACTCACCTTGCAGGACTAATAATTGGGAAAACATTGTTTTCATTTTAGCAAGCTTACTTGCTCCTGCATCGGTTGCAAACGTCAACATAGTTTTCATCATTTTAACTGCTGATATTTCATGATTTAATAGTTAAAGAACTAAATAATATCTTTATTTCCATAGTGACAGAGTTAATGGCAACAGAAGTGGAGTAAGCCTGAGTTTGCACCTTCTGGTAAATAGTGGCGTTGCGAGCGCAGGTGGCCATCCAGACCTCCTTATAGAACTGGTCGCTGATGGGATCCGACACATCGATGGAGAGATCTGTGTGAGCGCCCAAAATGGTCCTGAGAAAGAAACAGAGAGCGGGACGTGAAGAAACACCAATAGGGCACCAGAAAAAGGGAAACGCTCAGCACTGCAGGAAACAGCGAGCTGAGATATTTGGCAACGAGAAGCCAACGTAATGATGAAATTTAAACATTCTCAGCAGGCACAAGAGAGACTTTTAGCCTGCAAATACATGAACAAATAAATCAATACTGTAAAGATAATTCACACAAATCAAGCTTGTACATAGATGCACTGGATAAAACAATAAAACAGGATGTTTCAGTACTTGAAGCACTCGAGGCGGAGCTGCAGGGCATATTTTCCAGCTTGGTACGGCTGCCCGTCCATCACCGCCGCCACCATCTCCGAGTCCTCCACGATCACCGCCACCTCACTGTCCCGCTTTCCCAGCATGCTCCTGTCGTTGATGTTGGCAGAACCTGCAGCGACACAAAGGAACAAGACAAGTTAGAGCACCGGAGTCCACCAGCAGATGGTGCCGCAGCACCTGATTTCCAACCGCATGTTCATCCTCCTCAAAAGACTAGACAAACATTTGTGGAGGAGGATCCGGGAAATATGGGAAAGCGTTAGGACTTCAAAATGCTGCTTCTCTTTAATAATACAACAACACATAGAGACGTATGTAACACTCACTGTGCATACATTTAAAGAGGTTAAATATTAAACATCTGAATGAATGAAGTGTCCCTCCAATGAGATGGCCAGCCAGTTTGATTTTCTTGTAACTTAGCTGTACCAGATGGTTCTGTGCCAAACGTGTACCATTTTACATCTTTATCCACAGAACCTCACTTTCCTAATAAAACATACTGTATGCAAATTCTAATAAAAAGAACATCCTCGTCTCTCTCTGCAGCTCCTGTTTCTTTCTCCTCTATTATACATGTTCAGTCTAGTGTCAGGGGAATATTTCATTACATCTGTCATCTTTTAATCTTGTAATTGAGAAATTCAAGCTGCTGCGTCAACGTCTGCTATGAAGAAAGTGTCTAACATGCTGGAAGTCAGTGAAGTGGCCACAAGAAAAAGCACGGTTACCGATTATGACGGTGTTGTCGTCAGCGATGAGCATCTTGCTGTGGACGTAGATGAGCTCGGTGACCAGCTTCCCCTCAAGCTCAGCGTGAGTCCTCAAACCAGCGATGGAGATGTAGTTCATCCAGTGTTCTCCCACTGGGAACAAGAAACAACCAGTAGGAGTCGCTCTTAAGAGGGTGTTTAATGTCTTGTTTGACAAATCTTCCAGAGCTTTCGGTTCGTTTAATCATTAAATTCAAACTGTTAAAGCTCATTATTGTCATTTTTGTCATTGTCTCTTTATATTGAAAGGAAGTCAGAGCTTTAAGAAACACTTGGCACTGATTAAAAGTTTGTGTGATTTGAGTAAAACATAAAAAAACAGCAGTGTGATTAAAGGCATGACTTATCTAAAAATACATGAAACCAGATTGCAGATGTGCAGTTTCCGTGTGGTTTTGGGGCAGAAATGTGGTTTGGTTGGCTGAGCTTTAAATTAAATGTTTCGTTAAATGATTCCCATATTACAGGTTACACATGCTGTGTATGACGGCTCTCCAGCTGTACATATAGAGCCTTTATTTATGCAGCAGGGTGACTTTACTGAGCACAAATACTCTCAAGTAAGTCCCTCACTAAGCACTTATATTTTTTGTCAATCTGCAAATTCACTGCTACAGTGCCACTAAATCCTGCACACTGGTCCTTTAAAAAGTAACTTAACACCAGAGTTTTGTATTTTTTCATTAGTTTTAATCTAGTTTTACATTTTTGTTTAGTTTTCAGAGCGAGTTTGGTTGTTCCAGTTTAGTTTTGACATCTGTATTTGCATATTATAATATGCCTCTTATTTTACTTTAGTTATTTAAATACACAATATTGTTTCAGTTAGTTTTTGAGTTTAGTTTAGTTTTAGTTACTATAGTAACTATAACAACCTTGTTTATCTCCAACATGAAAAGCAGTGAAGTGTAACCACGACAACAGTGATGTCACAGTGTACTGACACACCCTGAAGTACAAGTACACTGTGACATCACTGCAGCGAACCAGTGGAGGTCAGCTGCTGTTAAATTGCTCTTTAAGGTTGCTGTAGCAGCATTGTAAACTAAAATAATAATAATTATACTTCAGTGAGTATGAGTCTCAAATAAAGAGCTGGTTATCTCATCAGTTGAGATAAATAAAGGAGAATTTAATGTATAATTGATTAATGTACAAGCAACTATCTCTGATATGTTGTTACATGTCAGGAAATACCAGAGCTGCTACCAGCAGCCGCTGCAGGTTACTGCTGCTCATACAGCCGGTGTTACCAGCTCCTCTGTCCCGCCCACAGACGCTCACAGTTCAAAAGCGTGGACTCTGACTTACTCTCTTTTCTGAGCTGGGAGATGATGGAGTGGTCTCCTCTGATCATGGTCCTGCAGGGAACAGAGGGACAGAGATGGATGAGCGGCAGATCTACATTCCTCACAATACAAGCCTCTGTGTTTCACTGTGTTTGCATGGGGTGGGCTCAGTGTTTACTCAAGAATGCAGGCTAGACAATGAACGTCAGCCTCAAAAGGAATGGCATGCACAGACACACACACGTATGATGTATGTTGGTTTACAGCTCTGTGGTTAAAGAGTTGAGGTGTGGCGGTAATCTATCAGTGGCTTCTTCCGGGATTTAATCCTCAAACAAACAGCAGGTGGGTTCATGGCAGCTTTCTTGTCACATGGGCACACTCACGGACTCTCTCTCACACACACACA